GGACTAATTACGGATTCAATAGATATAAAAAAAACTGTATTGATTTTAAACTTAATTTAGGGTGAAAAAACTCTACAATAAATCGTACTGTTGCGGACAAATTGTTTCAATATTAAAATTAACACTGATGTGTTAGTTTCTTGTCATTTCTTTTCGTGGCACTTGATAAATTCTATTATGAATTTGAACTCCCATGCGAGCGTGGTATAGTAGTTAGTGTATTCGATTTCGGTGCGATATAATGTTAGATAGGTGTAGATTCGAATCCCCAAGCGTTAGAAATTTTAAGTTAATGTAAATAAAATTGCGATAGGTAAATCAAAAAATATGTTGAATGTATACAATAAAGTAATAATAATTAATATGTGTAACTTGTATAATTATTTTTTTATTAATATTTACTAAATCGTCCGGACTAATTTTGGACTGTTTCGGATTAATTCCGGATTCACTAGTTAAAATTAACTGACTAATTTCGGACTTCATCGGACCAACTTCGGATTCACTAGTTGTTCACAAACCGTATAGAGTTCGGATTTATCCGGATTAATTTCGGGTGACAAAAACCTGACCATAAACCGCACTGTTTCGGACACGGATTAGTCCGAAATCTGTCCGTTTTTTTAACCAGGGAGATTTTCAAAATTTATTACAGTCCGACAATCACCACGAGCAAATTAATCATTTCTTAAGCAATCAGGGTATCGAATGTCGATTCATTCCCCCACTTTCGCCTCATTTTGGAGGCTTGTGGAAATCTACAGTCAAGGTGTTCAAACACCATTTTAAAAGGGTGAAATGATCGTGATTTTTAATTGCCAAAAGAATAGCTCGTTAAATTTAGCAAATTAGTCTTTAAATCTTTATCAAAACAGTATTTAAGTTAAGGACTGTTATCTACTATGATTTAGAGTAAGGTGTAGTCATTAATAAGGCATTAATTAAACCTTCGTAAGAAAGTATATTTTAGTAACATACAAAAAAATAACAAAATATGATAAACAAAATAAATTTAGATTAACAATATAAATCGTAGAAATACTAATAGGGTCAAAATAAGTGAAACCGGCCACTTGAAAAATTTTTATCTCCAATTTTCAAGTTATCTATGATTTTTAGTAGATATATGAGTACACTTTTTCCCCCTAAAATATTTTTCAAAAAAAAATTTTATTTTTGAAGTAATTAGGTATTGAAGTTTTAGGTCATTTTATTTTCATGTTATTATTACTTTGAAACAAATAAAGATAATTAGGTAATCTTTTTTAAAATTAAAGCTTAAAGTCTATACTTTAAAGATGAAATAAAGCGATTGCTAAAAAATGAAAATTTATAATTGTTATTAACAATTCTTTTAAACAATTGCAAATTGAAGAATGTTCTCAATGTTTTTGAAAGATTAAATTACGATATATTGATGGGCAAAACTATAAGGATTCATTTAAAAAAAAGAAAAATGAGTAACCTCCAATATTATAGAAATTGTGTAGATTTTTCTGCCAAAATGCAGGCCAAAATCGATTTTTAATCTTAAAAATCCGCTTGAAAGCGTGAAGTTTCTAACAAAACAAAAGAAGATCTTATTTATTCGTTTGCAATTTTATCTTTTTCCAGGAACTTAAGTCAATTTTTGCTTGCATTTTGTCAGCAAAATTTACATAATTTCTATAATATTGGAAGTTACTCATTTTTCTTTTTTTTAAATGAATCCTTATAGTTTTGCGCATCAATATATCGTAATTTAATCTTTCAAAAACATTGAGAACATTCTTCAATTTGCAATGGTTTAAAAGAATTGTTAATAACAATTATAAATTTTCATTTTTTAGCAATCGCTTTATTTCATCTTTAAAGTATAGACTTTAAGCTTTAATTTAAAAAAAAAATTACTTAATTATTTTTATTTGTTTCAAAGTAATAATAAAATGAAAATAAAATGACCTAAAACTTCAATACCTAATTACTTCAAAAATAAAATTTTTTTTTGAAAAATATTTTAGGGGGAAAAAGTGTACTCATATATCTACTAAAAATCATAGATAACTTGAAAATTGGAGATAAAAATTTTTCAAGTGGCCGGTTTCACTTATTTTGACCCTACACGGAGAAAAAGGAATAGTTGACACATCCAGATACATGGATATCACAGCCATATTATATTGAAAAATACGGGATATCCATAGTTAAGGTTGCTGCATCCATATTCTATGGCTGGCTGTATATTGTTGGAGCAGCAAAAGATCTATGGTTGGGTGATCCATAGTAATGGAAATGGGAAACAAAAAAATTAGAATCACTCAATTAATTAAATTCAATGTCACTTGAGATATTTTATACACATTTTTGTTAATTAATACACACCACTTATTGAATAACCGCATATTTACGAAATAAATTATTAACCGATGGGGGAGACACGAACCCTAGACCTAACGCATACTAAACACTAACGCTATCCACTACACTATACACACAACTACAATATCTGAGCATATAATATTCCTTATATACTATACACATATTTCATGAAAATGAATTTACATAAAAACTAATAGAGGGTCAAAATAAGTGAAACCGGCCACTTGAAAAATTTTTATCTCCAATTTTCAAGTTATCTATGATTTTTAGTAGATATATGAGTACACTTTTTCCCCCTAAAATATTTTTCAAAAAAAAATTTTATTTTTGAAGTAATTAGGTATTGAAGTTTTAGGTCATTTTATTTTCATTTTATTATTACTTTGAAACAAATAAAGATAATAAAGTAATTTTTTTTAAATTAAAGCTTAAAGTCTATACTTTAAAGATGAAATAAAGCGATTGCTAAAAAATGAAAATTTATAATTGTTATTAACAATTCTTTTAAACAATTGCAAATTGAAGAATGTTCTCAATGTTTTTGAAAGATTAAATTACGATATATTGATGCGCAAAACTATAAGGATTCATTTAAAAAAAAGAAAAATGAGTAACTTCCAATATTATAGAAATTATGTAAATTTTGCTGACAAAATGCAAGCAAAAATTGACTCAAGTTCCTGGAAAAAGATAAAATTGCAAACGAATAAATAAGATCTTCTTTTGTTTTGTTAGAAACTTCACGCTTTCAAGCGGATTTTTAAGATTAAAAATCGATTTTGGCCTGCATTTTGGCAGAAAAATCTACACAATTTCTATAATATTGGAGGTTACTCATTTTTCTTTTTTTTAAATGAATCCTTATAGTTTTGCGCATCAATATATCGTAATTTAATCTTTCAAAAACATTGAGAACATTCTTCAATTTGCAATTGTTTAAAAGAATTGTTAATAACAATTATAAATTTTCATTTTTTAGCAATCGCTTTATTTCATCTTTAAAGTATAGACTTTAAGCTTTAATTTTAAAAAAGATTACCTAATTATCTTTATTTGTTTCAAAGTAATAATAACATGAAAATAAAATGACCTAAAACTTCAATACCTAATTACTTCAAAAATAAAATTTTTTTTTGAAAAATATTTTAGGGGGAAAAAGTGTACTCATATATCTACTAAAAATCATAGATAACTTGAAAATTAGAGATAAAAATTTTTCAAGTGGCCGGTTTCACTTATTTTGACCCATATATATTACTATTATTTCAAATTTGTAATGTTATTATGTAATTTTAAATTATTAAAGAAAAGAAAATTTCTATGAGTTGGAACTTCATTAGTCAGTCATCTTAATTTTTAAAATACATAATTTTTTCTTTTATAATATTTTTGATTTTCATCTTAATTTAAAAAATACATCGTTTTTTCTTTTATAAATTTATTATTTTTGTTTAATACAGATTCTCTGAATCCTCGTTTCATAATGACAATGAAGATGAAGTCATATTGCCTGAGAACATAAGCAGTGATGGCTCTTCGTTATTTGATGATGATTATCAAATGTTTTTACCAAGCAGTGATTCTGAATTCGATGAGGTCTTAAGCGAAAATATAAATCTCTTTGAAGATATTAATTTACCAACAGTTAATGATAATGCAGAAAGTAAATTTAAAATTAACTTACATAGATGGGCATTACTTTTTCACATTACTCTCACCGCTCTAACAGCATTACTGCTTCTTTTAAAGCCAATTGTTCCTTTTTCATTACCCGCAGATGCAAGAATCTTCATGGGTACTTTAAGAAATGTTCAAATTTCTAAAATGGGGGATGCAGAGTATCATTATTTTGGCATTGAAAGAGCCGCAAAAGCCATTATTCAGGAGTATGAAGAGAAAGGTCAAGAGATAAAGGAACTAAAACTATTGTTTAATTTTGATGGGTTACCAATCTACAAATCCAGCAGAAAAGGAAGTCTATTTCTGATATTATATTCTGAAATTAATTCTGAAAAAGTATATCCAGTAGCAGCTTTCTTTGGTAATGAAAAACCCAAAGACAGTAATGTGTTTTTCAAAGAATTTGTTAAAGAGTTGTCTCACTTAATTATACATAAATTAAAAGACAAATCTGTTAGTGTTGTTTGCGAAGCTATAATATGTGATGCTCCGGCGAAATCATTTGCCTTTAATTTAAAGGGACACACAGGTTACGACAGTTGTCCAAAATGCGAAATAGGAGGAGTATATGCAACTACAAAAGTTAGAGGAAAGGCTAAGAATCGAAAGAGGGGTGCTGTTTGCTTTCCAGGTACAGGACCGTTCAAAATGAAGACTGATAATGGATTTATTCAAAACCTATATGAAGATTTTGATTCAGGAAAGGAAACTATTTTAAAGAACATACCGCAATTGGGATGCATAACATCAGTTCCTTTAGATTATATGCACCTTCTGCTACTTGGAGTCACGAAAAAATTAATTCGATTATGGACAAGTGGTCCTCCATCCGTGAAGGAAGATTCTAAAGTAATAGACAAAATTACAAAAAAATTACTTATCGTGAGAAATAGCACACCTTCGGAATTTGCAAGAAAACCTCGATCAATAAACGAATACACCAATTGGAAAGCAACTGAATTTCGAACCTTCTTGTTGTACACGGGACCAGTTGTATTAAAAAATATTTTTCTTGATGATGACAGGTACGAAAATTTTTTATTATTGCACACTGCAATTTCAATTTTAGTCGACGAGAAAAGGCTTCAGTCGTTGGTGAATATTGATAACTGTCAGGAATTATTAATAAAATTTATGAGGGGTTTCGAACGAATTTATGGCAAAAGGTATATTTCACACAATGTGCACAATACTTTACACATTTGTGATGATGTAAAAAGATATGGGCCATTAGATAGATTCAGCGCTTTTAGGTTTGAGAATTATATGACGAGCATCAAACGGATGATTAGAAAAGGTGATAAACCTTTACAACAAATCGCTCTTCGGTATTCGGAAAGAGAAAAACTTGAAGAAAAGTTACCCGTTAAAGAAAATTATATTCTCTTACAGAAACACAACAATGGACCATTATCGAGAGACTGTGGTATTGTCATTGAACAATATAAAATGGTAAAGCACAAGAACTTTACAATTAATTGTGAAAAAATTAAAGATAGTTGTGTTCTATTAGATGACCGAACTTTTGCTTTGGTAAAAAATATAATTCGCACAAATGAACGCATTAGCTTAATAATAAATAAAATCGATATCATCAACAGTTTATATGACGAGCCCGACAGTAAGGAGATTGATATTTGCATTGGTAATGCTTCCAGAGATCTGTCTACAATTTCTTTAAATAGTGTTTCACGTAAAGCTTGGAGAATCCCAAGTACATCAGGATCAATCTTGTTGCCTTTGCATCATTCTCATTAATATATCAAAAGAAGTTGGACAAAAGCAACGACAAAGTGGATTTTGTAGGATGTAAGTACAATTATATCATCAAAACTCCTTTTACTATCCATAAAATTAAAGACTATGAAGAAAAAACGCTATATATGTATAACCTATAAATTTTTATTGTAAATAAAATAATTACTTTAAAGTAGTTTGAAACAAAACAGTTTATATGTTTAAAATTATTTTACATCTTTTTGTATTATTTTCTTCATTTATTACTTTACTTCTCGTAAACTTTTTTCACTTAAAATAATGTATTTTTAAGCAGATTTTTCATAAATATTTAGTTTTAAAAATATTATTTTTTTTCGAGAATAAGAATAAAAAATATATTATTTGTGAATGACACAACACATCTAAGTGATAATAAAACTTTTTTGTGAAACCTATATTTTTATAACTTCTCCAGTTTGCTTTGAGAAAAGGAATTTCTACATAAAACCTCTTTTTAAAATAACCTAATTTATTAACAAAAAGTAATTTATAAAAAATAGTTCAATTTTAACAACAAAATTATGCATTTAAATAATTTCCAAATTACAAAAAAAATAGTATTTTATTTTTTTAATTTATAAAAAGAAACACTATTGTTGTACATTTATGGAAAAATATTTTATTTCATTTTCTGCTATGTAGGTGAATTACAAATCAAGAGACTACTAAATGCATATTCAGTGGATCACGAGACTTATTTTTGTACTTAAGAATTAAATCAAAAACTATGGACTATTGATTCATAGAATGACTGAAACTATTGTGACAAGTATATAAAAATATCTTTTCTTTCATTGAAAGAATTTTAAAGCACAAAATAATTTTATTTTTCGTAAATAAAATTTAAAATAAGGTTCTTTAAAATATATAAATACTTTTATTTGTAAGAAAAATTAAAGACTTGTTATTTTTAGTTTATAAACTCAACTTTTGTCATAATAAAAGTGTCTATTTCATCATTTATAATATCTTTATACATCAGGGGTCACTTATGAAACATGTAAGTTAAAAAACTAAAAATTCTAAAACTAGTTTTAAAAACTAAAATTAAAATTCGAATATCAGTTAATTTTAAAATTAATTAGAATTTTTAATAATAATTTCATAAACTATATGTAAACAATTTAATTAAATAAATAAATCCTTTTTATATAACATAATTTTCTCATATTCATAGAAAGAATATTAACTTTTTCTAATAATCTCAAAAAAATGTTAATTCAGATTTTGTCTACAGCTTTAAAAAATGCAAACGGTAAAAACTAGTATCAAATTTAATCTTAATTCTTGCAGTAAGCTTATTGAGTTACCTTGCAGCAAGCTTGCATACGACCTTGCAGCAAGCTTTTCGAGTCACCTTGCAACAAGCTTGCATATGACCTTGCAGCAAGCTTATCGAGTCATCTTTCAGCAAGCTTGCATTACAACCTTGTGACAGGCTTATCGAGTCACCTTGCAGCAAGCTTACATTACAAACTTGTGACAGACTTGCAGTGCAAGCTTGCAACAATAGGACATTTTAGTACTTGCCACGAACTTGACACAAGCTTGCCGCGCAAGCTTGCACATCTTGCATGGCAAGTTTGTTGCAAGTTCGTGGCAAGCATATGTGCTGATTGGGGTACTACAAAAGCCCTAAGTTTAGGCACGATTGGAGAAAAATGTTTTCCCACCTTGATCACTTAACATGAAATCGCTCATATACTAACAGAGAAAAAATCCCCACACGTTGGGAGTTAAACGCACGAACCTGACATTCGTAAACCGATAACCTAACCACTTAACCACGCTAGCTCGGTACGATGCATTGCATGATACTTTAGGCTATTCTCGTCATGATAAGTCATATTAACTATTCCATTAAAAAATTTCTCAAAATAATAAAACTGAAGTCAGTAACATTCTCGTTGAAACTTCAGTTTCATTCAACAAAATATGATTTTAACAGAAGTTATCAAATCTGTGAACGGTTTTAAATATTTAACTTGAAAAATATATTGTAACGAAAATTTTAATTGAGTTAATTAACTAAAGCTTAAATCTCAAAGCTCATGAAACTTTAAATAAATCTTTAATGTCAGCAGTTTTTCAATGTTGGGCGCAAAAGTTAACTGAAAATTGCATGAAGTAAAATTTTTTTTTAATTTAAATGAATTTTTTCTCTAAAGGAGGAAGTTTGAAAAAAATTTTAAAAAGTTTTTAAAAACTTAAAAAATTAAAGAAAATTGTAAACATTCATGCAATTTTTAGTCAACTTATGCGCCCAACATTGAAAAACTGCAGACCTTTAAAGATTTATTTTAACTTTCATGAGCTAAGGAATATGCAGAATGAATCAGTAACTTATATTTTACTAATCGAATCAGTAACTAATTACTAATTGATAATAGCAATTAGTAGAATTCTACTGATAACACAGCCACACAAAAAAAAAGTTCTGATCTGGGGGTCTCACTATGTAGACTTTATGGTTTTTGGGTCGCTGAATCCGAATCCGAGGTCCATTTAACCCCATCAGATCAGGATTTTGACATAACCTCAAAAACCCAATATGGCGGACACATTTTTGAAAAGTTCATTGGATTCGCTTGAAATTCGTTACTCAGGGGTTTTTGGGGTCGCTGATTACGAATTTGAAGTCTGATTTCAAAAATTCAAAATGGCGGATCCACTATGGCGGACACGTTTTTGAAAAATTCATCGGATTCGCTTGAAATTCGTTACTCTGGGGTTTTTGGGGTCGCTGATTACGAATCTGATGTCGGTTTTTCAAAATTCAAAATGGCGGATCCAATATGGCTGACACAGACAGGGCTCTGGCACAGAGGATTGGCTCTAAGCCAATACGGATTTGTGAAAAACCGTATTGGGACGTTTGACTCAATCTTTTTTTCGTCCAGCGAATACGGTCCTCTTTTAATATTAAAATTAAGATCATATGAACAGAGTACACATCATAAATTAAAAGCACAATTGTCCTGGTATATAAAAATGATGATTTCGAAACGAAACAGTGAAAAATTATTAAAAACCCAAGCATCAAGTAAGCTTATCTTGACATCACTGTAATATTATATTGGAGATTCGTCATATTACACTGTAATATTGCAGTGATCTTACTGGGATATCAAAATGTCCGCCTGGAGGTAATATTACGTTGTTATATTAAGAGAATATTACCTGGTAATATTAAGGTAATATTACACTGTAATTTTAACGTAATATTAAGGTAATATTCAGATAAAATTAGAATAATTTTATAATTTAGAAAAAAACATTTCACAAAACTGGATTCGAACCCTGAGCCATGTGCATAGTAATCATAAGTCTTACCACTGAGCGAAACTTACTTGAAGTGTATTAAGATTCTCGACGGTATATAATCTTTGTAAGTTTCTTTAAAGTTCTTCATATTTCATCAAAAATCTTAATACACTATAAGTAAGTTTGGCTCAGTGGTAAGACTCTTGATAACTGTGCACAAGATTTAGGGTTCAAGTCCAGCTTTGTGAAATTTTTTTTCTAAATTATAAAATTATTCTAATTTTATCTGAATATTACCATAACATTACGTTAATATTACCAAGTAATATTACTTTAATATTCCTATGTAATATTACCTTAATATTACCATGTAATATTCTCTTAATATAACAACGTAATATTACCTCCAGGCGGACATTTTGATATCTCAGTAAGATCACTGTAATATTACAGTGTAATATGACGGATCTCCAATGTAATATTACAGTGATGTCAAGCTAAGCTTACGTGCTGCTTGGGACGTGGTAAAAGTAAAATTTGATAGATGCGACTGCATTTAACATAATATGAATCAATGAAAAACATAATGTTTAAATGAATTAATGGGAATCTACTGTACCGACTTCACTGATTCTTATGGTAAATGTAGTGGCTCTGTGGTCTTAATTTTGTGACGAGCGACTGCCATCTCGCTCGACTGTCGATATATCGATTAATGATAATCAACGCGGAAAATTTAAATAGTTTATTAATTTAAATTTAAGTTTTTAACGATTTTTCACACGGCTTTAGATAAATATGTTTCACTAGAATAACACTGTGACTAATTTTTCAGTATGAAATTTCAACCTCATATGGACTATGTCTCAATATTTCTAAGAATTCACATAAATTAAGTACAATAACAAGAAAGAAAATATTCTTTAATTTTCCTTATTTCCAAGCGTAAAAATCTAAACTCTCGAACAATTAACAGGAAAATAGAAAAAATAGAAAGAGAATTCAAATAATATTTACAATTTTGAACGAGCCTGAGAAACGTCGATCTTATAGCGAATTCGTTTATCTGCACCGGAGCACTCTCGGAGTGCTCCAGAGCAGGAGTAGCATGTTCGGTTTGACAAATGTGCTCTAGTGCAGATCGTTTGGAGTATTCGCTTTAGCAGCACTGCTCCGGCGCAGATCGTTTCGAGTATTCGTTTTGGCAGCACTGCTCCGGCGCAGATCGTTATTTGTGTTCGAATTAAGAAGTGTGCACTCTCAAGGATCGAAAGGTGCAACAAAATTTGCTCCCACAATTTTGTTAGTGCAGTTTAAAAAAATGTCAAGAGAAGCGGCAAATTTAAAAATTTCACTTCTAACAGATTTAATTGACACCTCTAGCGATAGTAGTGAAAACGAATTATGTTTTTTATAATGAATTTTGTATTTAGAGAAAGATTAACATTCAATATTTTAATATTTAATAAAAACAGTAAATAATTTTTAATATTTTTAATATTTAAATAAAAATACTCATTATAAAGTAATTATTTGGTCTCAAAGAAATAACCTTTTCACTTATTTTATTATTGTTGTTAGTAGTTCAAAATGTCAAATAGTGTAAACAAAATTTATATCAGAAATATTATTCGATAATTTTGTGATTAACAATTCTGCTATATCAAAACATTGACCGAATAAAATTTTAATATTCTAATAAAAATATCAAATTTTTTGCTTTTAAAAATATTATTGATGTATACATCATAAAATATTTAATTTTAAGTAAAATAATTTTACATTTAAGAAGAAAATATATTGCATAATATAATGTATAATAATATATATAATATAATAAATATAATATTATATTACATTATATTATATAAGTTTAATTAAATTTAAACTTCGCGCCAAACGAGCAGTGTATGCTTTACACCATAGCAGTTCATGTTGTGCTCCTGCTCCAAAAACAGTCGAACTTTGCCAGTGTTCATGACGTCATAGAGTGCCTCAGAGTAGAGCACAGGTTTTTGAGAGCAGAGTAAACTATACTCCTACACCGAGCAAGATCGCTCTCGGAGCAGATAACCGAATTCGCTATTAGTTGAGACGTCTTTTGTAATACGAGTTAAAACCATAAATTACTTCTAAGATATTGAGATACATCCCAATGAGTAAAAGAAATAGAAAAAACTTTCGGTAATAAAACCCAACTAAGGGATACGAAATAGTATCCCTTGACGCTGGGAAACTTATAAAAAATCAACTAAAACGCACAATGAGTTAGAAACACATGTTGACCACTCGGCGGCCTGGGACCCTTACACTTGAGAAATGTCACGTAAACTTCAGCCCATTGTTAAAACATACCACCCTCTATCAAAAGAGTTTTCTTAATTATCTCCGACAAAATAATTATATATATATATATATATATATATTAGTATTGAATTGTATAGTGTGTAGTATAAAGTGGGGATGCTGGATGCATCTCGCGTAGACTGTGCATTAGGGTGGTCCAAAATACTAAAAGTCAGAATTTTTTTGCTC